CCCCCCCCCAAAAAAAAAAAAAAAAACGAAACTTCTCTGTTCAAAATTTTCTTTACGGATTCGGGGAGATCTCGGCAAGTGCAGTCCAACCATGTTAAAAAAAAAAATAGTTGAAAAAATTGACCCACTTTTGGGCCCAACCGGAATTCTGGTTGGACCACCGGGTGTCCAACCGGCGGTTGCCGGCAAGGCCTGAAAAGAACGGCAACTGGATCTCCACAGGTTTCCAAAGCCTGGCAGCCTGTGCAAGCTGCAAAAGCCAGCATATGGTTTTGAAAAGAAGCTGGTAATTTAAATTTCAAGCCTAGTCTCTTCTCTGGTTTATAATGAGATGACACCTTTGAAAAGTACTTTTCTGTACCTGCAGTTGGGCAGCTCACTTTCGGGCCCCTGCTCCAGCACTACACTCCGGACAGAGACGAGTAAGACCCGGAGACCCCGGAGGATTGTGTTTCAGGCAGGAATGTTAGATGGTAGTTCGCAGCCCGTCAGTGGTGCGTTTCCCCCCCCTTGAGACATTTCCACCCCGAGACATTTTTGTCGTCCTTCGTTATACTGGTCGTTGATTCGGGCTCATTTGGTCGTTGGAAGGTTCGAAAAATGCAGGCAGGTGCAGGCACGACACTTTGGGGGGTGGTGGCAGTTTCTTTGAAAAATGCAGGACCGGTAGCTGCCTGTGGGACCACGCACTGGGTTTTGGTCGAAACGGTGGCAAAGTAGCGGCAGGGTGGATCTTTGGGGGGGGGGGCTTTCATTGAAAAATGCGGGACCGGTAGCTGCCCGCTGGGTTTTGGTCGAAACGGTGGCAAAGCAGCGGCATGGTGGAAAAGTGGAAAAGTCTGAATGGGGTGCGTTTTCCCCCCCGAGACATTTCCCCCCTGAGGCATTTTCGTCATCCTTCGTTATACCGGTCGTTGATTTGGGCTCGTTTGGTTGTTGGAAGGTTTGAAAAATGCAGGCAGGTGCAGGCACAACACTTTGGGGGGTGGTGGTAGTTTCTTTGAAAAATGCGGGACCGGTAGCTGCCCTTGGGACAGTGCACTGGGTTTTGGTCGAAACGGTGGCAAAGCAGCGGCAGGGTGGATCTTTGGGTGTTGGTGGCAGTTTCTTTGGAAAATGCGGGACCGGTAGCTGCCCGTGGGACCGCGTGCTGGGTTTTGGTCGAAACGGTGGCAAAGCAACGGTAGGGTGGAAAAGTGGAAAAGTCTGAATCGGAAAGGGTGCGGCCTTGGCCGCAGGTTGAAACGACACTTCTGCATTGCATTTGCAAGTGCAAACAAATGTGTCTGAACGTGGACGTATTCAACGCCCCACACATTCAGCCCCCGATTGAGTGAGTCACATGTGACAAAACAACTTTTATTTGATTAAAAAAAAAACTTAGAACAACAAACACTCAAGCACACACATATACGACATATGGACCAAGATTCAAGGACCACCAGGCTCGACAGCAACTATGAATCAAGGTATGTCAAATACCTCTAAAGAGCGTTACAGGAGATGATAATATTATGGGAAGAAGAAAGCACGTGCAAACTCCCATAGATATAATCCCAGAATGTATGGTACTTGTGGTGGGTAATTACGCCATGAGCCCGAAAGACTGCTCCACCGGATTCTCTCGACGTCGATTACTGTTCAAGGCCCATAATGAGATTCAAGTACCAAAGGCGAAAGTACTGATCAAACCGATCCCACATAACGATGAATGGGAAGGAATCTTAAGTACGAAATTGCCAGGTAATACATTAATACCATACACATTACCTAAATCCCACACATTCCAACACTAATAGATGTGATAAACACAAACACCCCAAGTATCGCACAAACACACAAACACTAATCTTGACACATACACACAAATACTCCTTTTTTTCCATGCAACAATCACCCTACTTCTAAACCTCACCAATAACGCCTCTATCAATCAAGCATATACAAACTACGGGCTGCGCACCCGTGCCCTCACGGTAAGTCAATGTACCATAGTAGGTTCCTTAGTTTAGGAAGGGCTGGGGTACGAGTACTATAGGTAGGATGGGGTATTGGGGAGTAGGGATTTGCCCGGGGAGGGGAGGGTAGCAGGCAGCGACGGTAAGGGGGAAATGGGCATGAAAAGAGGAAAATATAATCCAAAAATAATCCATGAACAAGAATTGGGGGCAGTATCTTAGGAAAGGGTAGTAATCCAAGTCATTCGAGGGGAGTTGGAGGTGAGAGCTGGAGTGGAACATAGTAGTGTGAATAGTGAGGGGCTAATGATGGGAAGGAAATAATAGGCAAATCTTCGATAGATATGAGTCCACGAATGGACTGCTGTAATAGGGGTAGGGACTGGTACTTGAAATGCGACGATCGTTTGGGATATAGTGAGGACCGACACAGGGACAGTGCTCGGGAACCGAGGCCCTCCCCCTCCCGCGGCACCCCCAATGTGCGACTGGGTACATAGGTTTGTTTCCCGGCCCGCACGAGGGATGGTGTGGCTCCCTGCGACACAGCCGCAGCCCACCCTGCAGATTGCCTCGGGCGACAGGGGACTGGGCGATCTTCATCAAATCCATGGATTCTACGTTTATGAGGGACGCTGGACCTGTTTTCCAGCAGGTGCAGCTCCCCACCAAGGGCGACTTTCGCTGTCACTTTCCCTGTGACTGCCAACACCAATGCAAGCTTCACTGGCTACAAGCCCAGTTGAAGTGAAAGCAACTATCAACCATGAAGCAAGAAGCAGCAAGTGCACATCATGCCCATGAACAAACACAACCTGGCTGGATATATGCAAAAGCATGTGACGGGGATGACCACGACCTAACCCGATGAAGGAGAAGAATTACAATCCTTCCAACCACCGGCAACACTATCAGACGGTTGAAAAAACAAACCAGAGGCGTGAGTGACGGTTAATCCCGTCATCTTTGCTTGTAATCAGCAAGCCAAGCACCCATTCCCCACCTGCTGGAGAGAGAGAGAGAGAGAGAGAGAGAGAGAGAGAGAGAGAGAGAGAGAGAGAGAGAGAGAGAGAGAGAGAGAGAGAGAGAGAGAGAGAG